TTTTCGAATATTTGCTGATACATAGCCTTCGTGCCCTGGCCAGGAGAGAGGGAGGGGTGGAGGGGGGAGGGGGTCGTGGCTCGTGGGAATATTGCGTTTATTTACTACCCTATTCCACTGAAAATATGACACTGATACCAAATCCAGGGGACTGTGTTATCTATGGTAATGGCGAGCTCATTCTGATTCTTATTTTCTCTCTCTCTCTCTCTTTCTCTGTGTCTCTCTCGTTGGAACTATCTAGGTCTCTCGCTCTTCTTTCCTCTCTGAGTCTTATTCGATTTTTTTTTCTCTCTCTCTCTCTCTCTCTCTCTCTCTCTCTCTCTCTCTCTCTCAAACATATTCCTCCATATAATATTTCATCACTATTAAGCCTCAACGCCATCACTTCACAAACTGGGTCGAATTTGTCATACAATAAGACACCAGGACGAGAAGATTCATGTCATCGTTCACACCGCGTCAGAGACATTTAAAGAACGCCATAAATACCAAGACCCTTATCATCGTTCACACCAAGTCACAGATAAGATAAAACAAAAACAAATCTTTATCATCATTATTCACATCCAATATAGAACGACACAGATATAATCCTTATCATCGTTCACAGCCTCTGTGTTGATAAAAGATATTAACTCATTTGGAATTCATAGTAATACATTCAGAAAAAATATATATATAAAAACTCCTAAAAATGGCAAATATAATGAATGTGTGATAGAACCCCCCCTCTCCCCCGCCCCTCCCACCTCCCCCCGAAAAAAATAGTAAATATGAGTGAAAAAAAGTGTATGTTTATGTGTAGTATCGAGAGTTTCAGCTCGACTTAGTGTTATGTTGGTTATATACTGTGAGATGCGAACAGAGAGTAGCGAAGCCTCTTGCTATTTACGAACCTTCGAAATCACATACACACGATCATGCGATGCTGTTGTTCGGTGGGTCTTGGCTCCTGGTGGGGGGAAGAGGGTGTTGTTCTGTGGGTCCTTGGTTCCTGGTGGGGAAGAGGTATTGTTCGGTGGGTCTTGGCTCCTGGTGGGGGAAGAGGGTGTTGTTCTGTGGGTCTTGGTTCCTGGTGGGGGAAGAGTGTTGTTCTGTGGGTCTTGGTTCCTGGTGGGGAAGAGGTGTTGTTCTGTGGGTCTTGGTTCCTGGTGGGGGAGAGGTGTTGTTCGGTGGGTCTTGGTTCCTGGTGGGGAAGAGGGTGTTGTTCTGTGGGTCTTAACTCCTGGTGGGGTGGAAGAGGGTGTTGTTCTGTGGGTCCTTGGTTCTGGTGGGGTGGAAGAGGGTGTTGTTCGGTGGGTCCTTGGTTCCTGGTGGGGTGGAAGAGGTGTTGTTCTGTGGGTCTTGGTTCCTGGTGGGGGGAAGAGGTGTTGTTCGGTGGGTCTTGGCTCCTGGTGGGGGGAAGAGGGTGTTGTTCTGTGGGTCCTTGGTTCCTGGTGGGGGGAAGAGGGTGTTTTTCTGTGGGTCTTAACTCCTGGTGGGGGGGAGGAGGTAGGTACTGAGCCAGCCTGCAGTACTTGATGGTACCTTAACCGCGCGTTCTCAGAGCTTTCGTAATACCTGATCGCTGAGGTGAAGTTATTTTTCACCTTAACGAGAGAAAGAGAAATTGTATCACTTTATGGAATCATCTCAAGACCGCGACTTCGATACCATTTTCATTGTCAACGTTTTGCAATCTTAGAAGGAACCGAAATATTAACGTAAAGATCTTCGTGAATTTGGTTTATTTTATTCTCACGTGTTGACAGTCTTAATTGGATTAGATAGTCACCTGGCGTACACCTGTGACACTTATCTGTTGTTATGGTTGTGATGATGACTGGTTATTGATGTTGCGTAGAAGGTTAATATATTCTCTCTCTCTCTCTCTCTCTCTCTCTCTCTCTCTCTCTCTCTCTCTCTCAGTGCGGTACAAAACACAGTTCTATTAAAATTCATCTACTACAAAATCACAACTTTTCTTCACTATTTTACTTCCAAGAAAAAAATCGACACAAAAATTCTACAGCATTACCGCAGTTGTATTACGACACTTGTATGCCGTTTAATACTCGGTGAATCTTTATACAATGACAAACACCAAATTCTGGGAATATTTACCAACTAATATAAATTCTATAGTTATAAATACAATCTTAATACTTTTCTAGTCAACCAAACTTAATACTTTTCTAATAAACCAAACTTAATACTTTTCAAATCAACCAAACTTAATACTTTTCTAATCAATCAAACTTAATACTTTTCTAATCAACGAATCTTAACACAAAATGAAACGAAAAATACCCAAATAACGAGAAAGTTTACGAATCAAAACTCCCTAATCCTCAGAGCTTAGAACTTATCCGAAGGCGTTGGACTCACCCAGCGATCCAGCTCGTAAACCCACAAGTCGCTGGAGTACAGTTTAGGGCCTCCTTCCACCCCTCCATCCTCCACACAACCTCCCCCTGCCCCCCCCTCCCTCACCCCACCACCTGCAATACATGGAAGGTCTCTCTCTCTCTCTCTCTCTCTCTCTCTCTCTCTCTCTCTCTCTCTCTCTCTCACTAATCCTCTTTTGCTCCTCATCATAAATATTACACTCTCCCACTGCCTCACCTTTCCCAATCCCCCTCCTCTAACACCTCACTTCCCCATCTTCCCTCTCTCCCCAAAACCACCTCATTCTCTCTCTCTCTCTCTCTCTCTCTCTCTCTCCCCAAACACCCCTCATTCACCCCTGACTCCCCTCTCCTCCTTTACTAACTTCTGACATAATATATCTGTTTTAGAATTTACTAACTCAAAAGTCCTCGATTTGTGTTTCCATACCCCAGGAAGATACTACCGAGTGTTGATCTGGGGTGTTCTGCAAGGGAAAGGGGGTGAAGGGTGAAGGGGGAGAGAAGAGGAAGGGGTGGGGGAAGAGAGGAGGGTGGAGAGTAGAAGGGGGTGAATGGGGTAGAGGGGAAGGTGGACGAGGTAGGGGGAAGGGAGGGGGAGGAGCATTGACAATGTGGTTACCGACGCTGGTAAGAGGAAAGCGGGTAGGGGGAAGGGAGGGGGGGAGACGAGGAAGAGGAGGGAAGTAGAAGGGAAAGAGGCGAGGATGGAAGAAGTGGAGAAGTGGGAAGGGAGGGGAAAGGGTGGAAGGGGGGATTGTATCCTTGATTAATATATCATAATGAAAACATGAAGTATTGTTGATTTAATATGGAGAAAAATTTTAATAAATGATTTATTCCTGATGTATATATATATATATATATATATATATATATATATATATATATATATATATATATATATATATATATATATATATGTGTATTGTATGTATAGAGGTACACACACACACACACACACACACACACACACACACACACACACACACACACACACACACACACACACACCACCCCATACTTTTTCCAAAAACATAAATTTAAGGGAAGACTCAAGTTAATATTCCTCTCCCTTCATAAACAACTTTTGCCGACACCCCCCCTCAACTCCTGACGAAGACCCAGCAAGAGGAAGAGGAGGAGGAAGAAGAAGAGGAGGAAGAGGAGGATGAGGGTTAAGGGGAGGGTGGGTAAGAGGAAAAAATAGAGGAGGAAGGGAAGAAAAACAAGAGGGGTATGGGAAAGGAAGAGGAGGAAGTACATAAGAATAGGGGGGGAAGGAAAAAGAGGAAGAGTGTAGGAGTCAACCATCCCTCTAATTCATTATCTTCTAGTTAGTTTCTTCTCCTCCTTACTCCTCCTCTATATCCTCCTACTCTGACCAGGGGTGAGGGAGGAAGAGAACTAGGAAGGAGGAGTATGGAGAAGGCAGAGGAGTGAGTGGGAAGAGGAAGAAGAGGGGTGTGAAAAAGGAGGAATGTAGCGAAGGCGGAGAAGTGAAGCGAAGCAAGAGGAGGGGGAAGGAGGAGGGTAACAGGAGGGAGGAGGAGAATAGGAGGAGGAGGAGGAGGAGGATAAGCAGCAGGGGGGAGGAGGAGGGAGGAGAAGCAGCAAGGGGGAAGGAGGAGGAGGAGGGTGGGAGGAGAAACAACAGAGGGGAGGAGGAGGAGAAACAGCAGGGGGGGGGAGGAGGAGGGGTGAGGAGGTTCGTAAAATTGACACACACTAAGTGAAGCGACGAAGATTCTCAGAGAGCCATCAAAAATTTTACTCGTGGAGCGTCGTGGAAACTTAGTTCATATTACTCATAAAGCGAGAGTTTATTATTGTTTCTGTAAACTTTGGCCGGGGTTTACGAGGCACCCGAGTCAAAAAGTGAATACGTTATGAAGTGGCCGTGTTTAATTGATTCATTTGAATACGGCCACTGTAACCCGGACAAAATACTCTGTGATTAGCAAAAATTCTTTCCTCACCACCGTCTCTCTCTCTCCCTCTCTCTCTCTCTCTCGCTCTCTCTCTCTCTCTCTCTCTCTCTCTCTCCTCTCTCTCTCTCTCTCTCTCTCACTAAACTAACCCACTTTCCTCACCCACCCACCCACCCACTCACCCACCCACCCACCCACTCACCCACCCACCCACCCACCACCCTCCCACACACCCCAAGGCAAACTCTGACTTTCTTCATGAATATATATTTGACTAGTTTGTTTGTGGTTGCCTGTGTTTGTTTATGTGTGTGTGTGTGTGTGTGTGTTGTGTGTGTGTGTGTGTTTGTGTGTGTGTGTGTGTGTTTGTGTGTGTGTTTGTGTGTGTGTGCTGGTAAGGGTGGTGGGGTGGGTGACCTCCGTTCCGTCTCTGATTGTTACATTAGCTTTTTATTCTACTTCCTAAAGAATACAGTTAATGTCTGTATCTTCTTGTATCGTATTGCACTTAACTGTATCGATAAAGATCTGAAGACACATAACTACTTTCTCGTTATATATTAAAGTTCATTGTTCCTGAAATACATTGTTGCTAACATACACACACACACACACACGAGGTTAATAAATGGAAGGTGTACCTCCAACAGGTGTACAGTATGTTCATGGACTAATACAGGTGTTCTCTACCAACAGATGTGTCGCCCGGGGTGCCAACACAGAGGCAGTACTCCAACAGTGAGTGTCACTTACTTGTTGATGTATTTACTGACATACAATAGTCACTACTAGGTAATCTATATTTGTATACCGGGTATATATTTCACGCCATTATTATGAATATACAGTATATCGTTTTATTTAGTCTCCTCTTCTGTTGTAATATAAACAGTGAAATATACATATGGTATATACACACATATAAATAGTTGTCTCAGCCATTATGGGTTTTATTTATAAGTGTCAGTTATGTTTGTACTACACTATCATGGCCCACTTGACGGCCTCCAGTGTGTGTTGATACAGTACAGTGTTTAGCGAGACACAGGTAAATGATATAATGAAAACATAAGATCAAATAAGTTTTGATGAGATTTGACGTCTCTCTCTCTCTCTCTCTCTCTCTCTCTCTCTCTCTCTCTCTCTCTCTCTCTCTCTCTCTCTCTCTCTCTCTCAAAGTCTGTCTATCTATCTATCTATCCATCACTTATATGTTAAATAAAAAACAGATCAAATATATTCTTCAGGTATGAGTAACATCCATCAAACAAGTAAAAAAAGGCGGGTATTGGGGCTGTTACACCGAGACGTTACACAGACAGCCTTCAGTGGAGATAGATTACTAACCCCTCGTGTACGGGGTCTCTCTCAGCTGCAGGAAATCGTCAGTCGGTAGCCAAATAAACTACTAATAGTATCATCCTCGTGGTGAAGGATTAAAGAGACGGAAATCAAAACATGAACATTTCTTTCAACAGTCCTTCATAATGACGCAAATTTCTCCTTCGTACAGAGAAGTGTCGTATGAAAGTAATATTTACACCTTAACTGTCTATACTTATATCTTCTACCTATAATCATCTTAGACAGGAGGTCACAAAATACACGTGTATATGTGATACGTACAATCATACAGAGATGGATATCATATATACACAGGTGGTAAAACAATGAGGCGATATACCTGCGGCACTCTGTACACCTCTGTCATGGAGCACGATCTGGTGTTCAAAGCATCTTAGTCACGAACCTCAAACACCGCCTCGAAAATATTCCCCGATCAACAGTTCATCAGCTATGAAATACACACACACACACGCACATATATATATAGACACACTCACACACGCACATACACATACACATATACATACACACACACACACACACACACACACACACACACACACACACACACACACACACACACACACACACACACTATATATATATCTCCCGTCTTTCGTTATACATACATGAAGGGAATGTCATGTACGTTATCTCATGGGGGTGGGGGGTAATTCTTGTATTTTAACCTCACTTACCGTGTATTTCCTGTACTCTAATTCCAGTATAATATATTTCCTGTATCTTCCAATTCCTGTATAGTCTAATCAGTTTATATTGTAATTAATGTATATTGTAATTCCTGTATCCTGCACCCTAACTGCTGTAACTCTTCACCTAATTAGTGTGTTGTCGACGTGCCCAGGTCATCACCACTCTTTATAAAGATCAATGACCCCGAAGAACCGATAGTGTGTGTGTGTGTAGAAGGGATGTGGTGGTGGGGTAGAGAGTATTCTAGGAGTATTCTGTAGTAACCTAACCTAACCTACGTTGTTTATATAAGTAACTTAATCTATGTGATAATACTATAAATCATATATAGTATACTTAGATATAAATATATGCAGTATAACACGATACTTATATTGTATATATAACTAGATAAGATTTCCTGGGTCACAGAGCATCAGGCGAGCTACTACAAAACCAAGATAAAAATTTGTCTTAAATCATGTTAACCGAGTGGCGTGTACTGTAGACTATGGGGTATAAATTATGTTTGTGTAGGTGATGCTACCCTCTGACCACACCAGCATACTGTACTGCTAACACCTTTTTCCGCCATATGTTAGAGATACTAACAGACATATAGAGACCTCGTATCTGCCAGTATAGTACCATAGTGATGATGTACCTAGGATATGGTACTGATAACTGGTACTTCATTGATATAACCAGTACTTTAAGATGATAATGAATATAAGTTTTAATGATAGATAAATAAATGAAGAAGTAGCAAGATACACTAAAGTAATGGGGATAAATAATAAGATAACATGATCTTATAATGAGGAACAATGGTAGAGACATTAATGGGTAGAGAGAAGGCAAATATTAGGATGAATTTATGATCCCCGGAGATAAACAAAAATCAAAATATCCCATAAACGTTAAGAGGGGAGGGCTGTGATCACCAACCCTCAGATAATACGATGACACACTGAAGAGGGCTGTGATCACCAACCCTCAGATAATAAGATGACACACTGAAGAGGGCTGTGATCACCAACCCTCAGATAATAAGATGACACACTGAAGAGGGCTGTGATCACCAACCCTCAGATAATACGATGACTGAAGAGGGCTGTGACTGACAGAGGGCTGTGATCACCAACCTCAGATAATACGATGACACACTGAAGAGGGCTGTGATCACCAACCCTCAGATAATACGATGACACACTGAAGAGGGCTGTGATCACCAACCCTCAGATAATAAGATGACACACTGAAGAGGGCTGTGATCACCAACCCTCAGATAATAAGATGACACACTGTTTAGTAAGTATATGTTGATGGTCTTACACATAATACACTAACAGAGGTATATTAATTTTACTCATTTACAAATATAGAATTCTTATAGGGATGATATACCGGTATTATATAAGAGACTATATCGTGTGATCCCAGTTGATTCCACTTTAAAAAAATATATTTCGTTAAGTTTTATAGATTCATATAAGATAAAATATAATTCAAAGGTTATAATTTACTGTAGATATATATAACAGGTGTCTAGAGTACGTAAAATGTACATAATTATATACCAGTCTTGTCTACCACCCTGTACAAGTGTTCCCTGACCTTCATAAACTAGTGTAGAGTGTAGCCTGACTCCCATGAAGTTGTGTACAGTGATGTCTGACTCCCATGAACTAGTGTACAGCGTTCCCTGACTCCCATGAACTAGTGTACAGCGTTCCCTGACTCCCATGAACTAGTGTACAGTGTTCCCTGACTCCCATGAACTAGTGTACAGCGTTCCCTGACTCCCATGAACTAGTGTACAGTGTTCCCTGACTCCCATGAACTAGTGTACAGCGTTCCCTGACTCCCATGAACTAGTGTACAGTGTTGCCTGACTCCCATGAACTAGTGTAGAGTGTTGCCTGCACAGTACCGGGTGATGGCTCATAAACCAGACTCGCCAGGTGTTCAGAACCTGATAGACGACCCTTAAAAGCTCTCTAGTGTTACCACTGTGAGAGGTAACACATCAATCACCTCACTAACACCAACTGCTGGTGAAAACTCCCTATTCTCTATACTATTTCTTCTTCTTCGTCTTGTGTAGGTCTCGTGTTCTCAATTGACGCTGTTATCGAATTCCCGTGTTCTCATTATGTTGTTCTGCCGTATGATAGTTATTTTTATGTTGTTAGCGTTATGGAGAACTGTACGAATGATTATTAAAAGGAAGATATGTTAGAGAAAGACGAAAAAAATGGCTGGTTATAACTAAATATTTAACTCGAGTCATTAAGCGTGATAGGAAAAAAATAAATACATTTTCTTTCTTAAATATTCAATATGGAAAAAAAAGACAAGACGTTTAATTTTATAAGACTCCACTTTGCATTACGAGTATCAAGACCACAAGAAGAGCTATGATATCTCACCTGTTGTCTCACACTGACCAAACACCCATCCAGGTCTTGGAGAGTGAGTACCTAGCCGGAGAATTAAGCTAGATTGATCGAAAAACTCCCTGTGCACCCTATAATAATTATCCAGATAGTTATTCCTTATTATACTATACCCACATTCTTATATACCTTGTTCTACCCACAGCAAATATTGGAGATAATATCCACTTTCAATAATAACTATAATCTTGTCTAATATTTACCAAAACAGAACAAAGTAAATAAGGATAATTATATTATTAATTATCACAGGTGCACAGGTACTTTTCGATCACCTTGTACCTTGATAATCTTATGCAGTATAAGAAAATGAAACAAGGAATTCGATCCATATTTTCCATACGACTTTAAATCACCTTTTACAATATATAATTATACGTTATAGTGGTTATGATTATATGGTAACGAAGTGCTTGTGAGTGCCTTTACCGTCGTCACTTTTACACAATTAGCTTACCATGTGTTAACAGGTGTTGGTAAGTGTTGACAGGTGTTAGTTAGCATGTGTTGGTAAGTGTTAGGTGTTAGTAGATATTGGTAAGTGTTAACAGTTATTCGATGTGTTGACAGGTGTTAGTTAGGTGTAAGTTAGCAGGTGTTGGTAGGTGTTGTTATGTGTTACTAATTTCAAATCGTCATTTCTAAGTCATGTGAATATCATTTATAATAAGTCAACGAATAAAAAGCAACCCAAGTTTTTATTTATATATGTAACTGATAGTCGTTAAGCCTCGAATGACGAATGATGGCGTTTATTTCTTATTTTTGTCGTAGGATGTGCAGAGGTGATTCATAAACCTAAACACTACAATACTAGAAAAAAAATTATGAGTGAGAATGTACAGAAATTATATGTAACAAAAATCAAGAACAACAATAAAAAGGTGGAATATATAAGTAATATGTTAATGAAATAATTTGATTAAGTGGTATTCATGATATCAAGTCATTAATAGAATTTTAAATATGATAGTGACTTTATTGAATGTGTTTCTCTTTACTCGTTCATTCTTCTTACACGAGACATGTACACTGCCACCATCACCTTATACAGTATCTAACGCTATGTTTGTGTCTCGTTCTCGTTACCTTACAATCTAACTCGTGGCGTCTCGTTCACTTACCTACGTCACAGAGACTCTAATAATTACATTTTTCATTGTTTATTCAAGGCTCTTACACGAGACATCAACACCACTACCACCACCTTACAATACTCACCGCTATATAATTTTGTCTCGTTCACTGACCCTCTTATTCATCTTCTCTAACTAGTAACATTTCGTTCGCAGGGTCCAACGAGAACGGTCTTCCTCGAAGGCTTCGCACCGCCTACACCAACACACAACTACTGGAGCTGGAGAAGGAGTTTCACTTCAACAAGTACCTGTGTCGACCCCGCAGGATAGAGATAGCTGCCTCCCTCGACCTCACGGAAAGACAGGTGAAGAGATGTAACGTGTGTGTGTGTGTGTGTGCGTGTGTGTGTGTGTGTGTGTGTGTTTTTTTAACCAAAGAAAGAATGAGAAGAATAGTGAAAGAATTACGAAAAGAGAGAAAAACAAAGAACAAGAGGGATAGTGAAACACACACGCACGCACGCACACACACACACGCACACACACGCACACACACACACACACACGCACACACACACACACACACACACACACACACACACACGTTACACCTCTTCACCTGTCTCTTCATGAACCAACAACGACCTTAACTCCTGCATATGGAAATGATTTAAACCCAGACAGCCATAGTTAAAGCATAGGTGACCGTGTATGTATGTATGACTATGTGCGTATGAATGCGTGTATGTAAAAATAAAAGGTTGTTGTAAGGCAAATGTTCCCACACATGTTTCTCACGAGTATACAGGTGTTGGTTGCATCTGGCCAAGTGTGTATGTGTGTATACAATGACCCACCCTCGCAATTTTTTCCTTTTAGTTTAATATCTTACTTTTTGGGGGGTGGGGGTCTTCTATTGCCTTACAATTAAGTAATTTTTTTACTCCTGTTACTTTACATTTATCTAACTTTTTATCTTTATAGCTGATCTTACTTGTTTCTATTTATTTTACTTGACTTAAATATTAACGTTAGTTTTAGTACGTATTTTTCACCTTCTTCTTCAGTATTTTTTATTTATCTTTTTTCTTTTTTTCCATTATTTTTAACAGATTTTTCTACTTACTTCTACTTACTTTTAGCCTAATTTGGTTACTTTAGTTTTGAGCATTATTTAACAAATTCTTACCACTAGTTCTATCGTATTTTAAACATACCTTTCATATACCTTCTACCTTACACACACACACACACACACACACACACACACACACACACACACACACACACACACACACACACACCAGTATTTGATAAGTAAGTAAAAAGAATGAATAATTTTTTAAAACAGACATAAAACTGAAAGATTGTGTCACGAGACACTTATGTCCAACAACTACCATAACACTTACTGTACAATATTGTACCTTCACATAACTTATGTACTACCTATCATGACTCTCGAGTCCTAATACTAAAATCCCTTACTCGGTGATACCAAACCCGGGTTTGCCTCACAGTCACTCCCACAAAGGTGAAAGTTTAGTTCCAGAAACGAGTTTCACCCATAATTTTTCTCCCACAGGTGAAAGTGTGGTTCCAGAACCGGCGGATGAAGCACAAGAGGCAAGCGATGACGAAGAGTGACGACACGGACAAGAAGAGGGACGGGGAGCAGCGGTCCGGCGTGGACGACGCCACTAACAACAACACCAAGTCGGTGCCGTCCTCCCCAGACAGTATGTGTTCATCCGACGTCAAGAAGGAGGAGAGCAACGACAGCCTGCCGCTCCCCAGTGCCTCAGCTGCCGCAGGAGTGCCGCCCACTACCGTGGGCTCCGGATTGCCAGGTGGCCCACGTGGCACCTGTGGCACGTTGCCACCGCTCGAACCTGGCAAAGTGAAATGTGAGGAGAGCGGAAACCTCAGGTATCCGGGGCCGCTGGGCTTCAACGGCGAGAGCATCACTATGAAGGACGGCTGCCCCCAGGATACGGCACCCCTTAACACGCCGCCCATTCCCCGAGCCACCCCGCCCCTCACCCCTGCCACGCCCACTGCCTCACCAGCCCACCTGACCGGGGCACGAGGAGTGCCAGGGTCTCCCGCCCTCACTACCCCGCCCATCACCTCGGCCAGGGCAGCGCCGCTCACCGCCACCACCACCGCCGTGGCCGCCGCCGCTTCCACCACCAGCTCCATCACGCCACATGGGTTCGGTGGCAGCGGCGGGGGCCGCGGAGGCGCAGGGAGAGGCTCCACTTTCTCCTCCTACTGCAGCAGTAGCAGCAGTAGTAGCAGCAGCGGAGAGAACAAGGGGCGCGGTGTATCCGGCTCCTATCCTGGCGCCTACCGGGGCTCCTGGGTGGACCAGTACCGGGGAATGGGCCGCGCCACGCCCCCGCAGTTCATGACCAACACCAACACCCGCGCCTCCAACGCCCACGGTTATGACTACACGTGTGCGCAGCAGCACCAACAGCAGCAGCAACAACAACAGCGGGGACAGCACATGTACAACGGCGGGTACGGGATGGACGGTTACAGCTACAACCGTCACTACTACAACAACAACATGATGTGTAGTGACGGTTACTCTGGCTACAACTACATGTACGGCAGCGGTGGTATGTACTCGTGTAGCGGGCAGAATGACGCCGCCGCCCACCAGTACTACGACTCTTACCCCATGTGTGGCTCTACTGGCTACGACCATACGGAGAAAGGTACTGCCATGAACGCGATGGCCACCAACAACCCGGCCAACATGGCCAACATGGCCAATATGACTCAGGGCGGCGGTTACTATAATAGTGCTAGTGCCAACGGCGGCGCGGGGAGTGAGGGCGTGGCCTACCAGGACCAGCAATACCACCAGCAGCAGAACGACCACGACCTTAACTTTACTTTTAACTTCTTCGAGCAGAGCGGTGGTGGTGGCGGCGGCGGAGGTGGTGGTGGCGGCACAGGAGGCGGCGCCGGTGGCGGCACCAGCGGCAGCACAGCGCCCAGCGAGAACAGCAACTCCTCAGACTTTAACTTCCTGACCAACCTGGCTAATGACTTCGCCCCGGAGTACTACCAGCTGAGCTGAGCCCCAGCCGAGGTAGTGTGGCGGAGGCCCGGCTCTCACAACACCACCAACCTTCACCGACGTACAGTGACGCTCCTCCAGGCGGCGTAATGATTTCATAATACCAGAACATTTGACCCGTGATATACAGTGGCTCCCTCTCCTCACGTGATGGTGAGGACGTTGGACTGGTCGTGAGTGGGCTTCTCCTCTACCCTCCCCTCTCATCACCCTTCTAGTGTATAGCAGTAAGGACCTCCCCCCCCCCGCGCCAGTGTGTCGCCCAAGACGTCATTATAACCTCCGGGAGTCACTATCGGAGTGCCCAGAGACGGTGTCACTGCGGGCGCTTCACTGCCTGTGGCAGTGCTGTGAGAGTGCCAGGACAGATCTTGTGGGAGGGACAGTGACGGGTCGAGTGCATGATGGCACCATGAGGACCTGGCACCCTTCTGCTGCTGCGGGTCAGTCCTTCTCACTGTGATGTGAACCACTAGGTGATGCGTCATCTGACACACTTCCCGGTGCACAAGTATGGCTCCAGGGGTGTACATGGGTGCGTGTGTGTGTAGGTTCAAGTACCAACTGTGGCCAGACGTGTCAAATGTTTGGCCCCAAAATTATCCGGAAACGGCCTTCAAGGTATTCAATATAACCCAGGCTTGCAAATGTGGCCAGATATATTAAAATATGGCACTAGGTTTCGTGGTCCAAAGTGCCAAGTGTGGTCCCGTGTCTTGTAGTTAAAAAAAGGTATAAAGTGTTGGTGCCATTTTCCCTGGTGAGGTGTCTGTCAAGTTGTTCAGTCAGAGGTGACCCGATGCTGTGAGGAAGTCAAGTGGCGTCGTGTGGATGACTCTCACAGTGACGAGTGAGCTAAATCCTGAGAGGTGTTGGCAGGAGTCAGCACTATGGGAGCACTGGTAATGGGTAGTGAGGCACAAACCTCACTACAGGTGAGTTCACAACACGAGGCCGACGCTCAAGTGAAGTGTAAGACGGAGGTTCTCGACTTGATGGACAAGAGCTCATGCGTGTGTGTCAGAGCTCGTGAATTGTGGGTTTAGAAATAGTGAAACGTGGGTGATACCTGGTTCACTGTGGGCCCGAAGTTGATGAAAACGAGAGTCAAAGTTAGTGATGCGTGGCTCCAGGAAGTAAAAATATGACCCAAGATTTCTGCAACCTGTGGGCCAGAAGGAGTGAGAGAGATGGCCACAGCTAGTGAAACGAGCCCCAGGTAATGGAACAGGCCTCAGCTCATAAAATGGGGGCCATAGCTACTGAAAAAGCTGGCCAGAGCTAGTAAAAAATGGGCCAAAGCTGGTGGTGGCGACATATGGGCCACAGGCCATGAAAACAAAAGTAGAACTGTGTTGCCAGTCATTCCAGACAACCCCCTCCTCCCCCCACCACCTCCTCCATCACCTCGAACCCCTGTAGATGTCCCCCCTCGATATCCCTCCCCCTTTCACACACCCCCTCACCCCCTGTGCCGTGGTAGAAGAGCGTTGTAGTTGACCTCAAACTTCCTCCTCTCTCCCGTAGATGATAAGCTTCGGTCTGTCCCTTAAAACGTGACCTCTGGACTCGAGAGGTCACTTGGTGATAAAGGGTCGCGGCGGTGCGGTTTTGTTGTCGAATTTTTCAGCAATAATTTAATACTTTTCATTTCCTTATATTTTTTTTTTTTGTTCTTGAGATGAACTCTAGAAAAATAGAAAGAAAATTATCATCTCTCTTGATTGACGGAAAAGAGATAAAGTGAGGAGATAATGTTATAAATCATGGTATCTTCCTTAGGTTATTGTGTGTGTGTGTGTGTGTGTGTGTGTGTGTGTGTGTGATAACAGGGAAAATCTCATCATCGGCTTGGGGAAAGTCTGTTGCCAAAATACAGGACAAGAAATATCAGTTGATAAAATAATTTCGCCATTAATCGGGGAAATTACCGACAAAGGACAAAATAGTATTATATCAGTCCAGAAAATTCGGCAAAAATTAGGGAAAATTACTACGAAAATACCGGAAATTTTAGTGAAGTCTAGAGAAATTTAGGGAAATTGACATAACGCCACAATAGAAATACCGCCAAAGAAATATTACCAGAAATTATAAGGAAATAATTACTATAAGGACAATGAATATTTCCAAGTTAAATTTTTTCGGAAATAGTCAATCAAGCTATCTATCGCCACTGAACAATAAGTGTACCGAGGATATATTATTTTCTCCAGATATCAAGAAAATTATTGGCAACAAATAATCACAAAAATTACCAAATTATTCGGGGTTTTTTCTTGGGGGTTACCTTCAATAAATTAGTGACTCCGAAATATACACATCTGAAAAGTGAATATATACTGTATTTATAAGACTGATATACTGTATAGCCATAGTTTAGTAAGTTAGAAAAAATATCAACATCTTACTAAATTTATTATATTTTCACTACAATTCCTTAACAATAAAACGTTAATTTAAATATATGTTCATTGTATTAATTAAAAACTTATTAAAATAAAAGGACAAATTTGGTATGGCAAAAATTATGCTTCTAATTAATTGATACTAATATTTGCTAAGTCTTGTTAAAACATAAAGATGACATTTGACGAATGTTTTATTATATAAAGTAATAATAATAATAATTTACTATTACCTTCTGAGTCCTGTAAGGTCTGGCCACCTAATGAAAGAGGATGTTGATGTTATTATGTATTACTGCGCTTCAAGTGCGCAGGCTGCTTTATTACATACACTTGGTCATCAACTATTTCATTTTTTGAGATCCCGGGTTCTTCAAGGTGGTTATCCATTTCCAACTGATCTCTGCGGTTCCAGATGTATAGGTTAGGTTACGTTAGGTTAGGTTAGGTTAGGTTAGCTGAGGTTAGGTTAGGTTAGGTTACCAAAGGAGTTCATCGATTCCTCCCTAAGTAGCTCCTCTGGCGATTCTCATAGGTGTTTCTCATCTCCTGTACCTCCCTTGGTTTTCAAAAGACCTAACCCTCCTTTAGTTCCTGAAGGATCTACTATGGTTCCACAAGGACCTCCTGGTTTCTGAAGGACCTCATGGTATATAACTGAAGGACCTCCTCTGGCTCTTGAAGGAACGCCACCCCTTCCCGAAAGAGCTCGCTGCCGTAAAAATATCTTGGAAGGGAAGAACGAGAGGATGAACCGAGTTTCTTCTCCTTCCTCCTCCTCCTCCTCCTCCTCCTTCTCTTCTTCTTCCTCCTCCCTTCTCCCTCACCAACCTCCCTTTCCAACCCCGACCCCCCCTCCCGGGCATCACCACGGCCGCCGCCGCCGCTGTCTCCGACCAGAAATCTTTTGGAAGTCTTCCTTTTTCTCTCTCCATTTCAAAGTTGGCGCGAGAGGCAAAAATTCTACCCAGGAATTCAGGTTAGGGATTTGAGAATTTTGTAATAGTCCACCATATTTTCTTTTCCGTTTTCTTTTTTGTTTTTGTTTTTATTTCTTCCTTGGAAGGAGAAGAATAGATATCTTCGTTGTTGTTTTTAAGACAATCTCTTCTTTTTTGCCGAACTGGTGTTTTATTTTTCTTGGAGGATAGGAGGAAGAGGACAGGAGGAGGTGGTGGAGGAGGAGAAGAAGACGAGGAGGAGAAGAAGAAAGAGAAGAGGCGGTGAATGAACTTGGTAATTTCAGTTAGGTTGTGATTTTAACTTAGAATTGGCAATGTTTTTAACCCTCAACTTGTGGTAATGTTTTTTTTTTTTGGTTTTTAGGAATGGGAGTGAAAGTTTGACAGCAGAATCTCAACTCAGACGAATACAAAACAACCTGCCTGTCTGTCTGACGGATGCAAGACACCCTCTATGTCTGTCTGTCTGCCTATCGTGTGCACAAAACCTCTCTCCTTTTACAGGCAAAATATAAACAGGGAAATGTATATAAAATTTGTTTACGTTCTTCTTGATATCTTATTTACATGGCATGTATATGTCAACTAAGCGATGGCAACAGTGATGGCAACTTATGTCCCGAAATATACAAAATATGAAAAAAAATTGAAACAATGGCAAATTATTGTAATAGTAACAAAAATTCATAATAAAATGTATGGCAATTTACAGCAATGAACATCACATCTCATGGCAAAAAATTATGACAAAAATAATTGTAAGTTAAAGTAAAACTAATTGTAATCTCTCAATGACGAATCATGGTATCAATTATGGCAACTAATGGCAATTGTAGTAATAATTCATGGTCATAATGACGGTAACAGGTTCAATGGCAACTTTTGATTACAATATTAATAGCAATTTTCTGGTAAAAATAGTGATCCTTCGTGGCAAATTATCATGTTAATTAATGGCAAACTATCATAACAAGCAATAGTTAATATCATGACAACTAATGACGACAGATATGGCAACTCATGGCAACAGTTTAAACCGGGTAGACAAATAAATATTACCAGACATAACAATATAATGAATGATTCAAGTGTTTAAATAAAGAATGTGATGAATGAGAAACAAAAGAATGAAAGAAAAAATTTGATACTCGGTGAATGACATCTGTCTAGACCTGCATGCAAGGCGGACACAGTGATAACCAATGATAAATGTATAAAAAAGGATAAATAAATAATGATATGAAAAATGAATAATTGATAACTAATGTGTATAAGAGAAATGAATGTAGAGTATGAATAATATAGCGATTATTTTAATGAATGAATCGACTCGTATCTGAAATAAATGAAGTGTATGAATGAATGACATTTTTTTTTCAATGAATGACTCGTGTATCATTTTAAGAGGAAGACGTGGCATACATATGGAGGCATTATGTGTATGCCCAATAATGCCCATGTATAGATAAAACAAATTCCCGGTCAACATGAGAATTTTTTGTGTGTGTAAATATAAGGAAAGGGGTGTTATCCCCTTAACCACCCCCACCCTCCCATCTCTTCCCATCCTCACATTCCCCCTTCCCCATACCTTCACCCCCTCCCCCTTTAATCCCTCCCCCCCTCACTACCCCCCCCCTTTACACCCCCTTCTTCCTGTGTGTACATATTTTGAATAGTAATATTATTGTAATATTGATGACCGAAGGGTGAACTACAATAAATGTCCTTGTAAATGATGGATTTTTATTCCTTGTCCTATCTACCTATTGTGTATCTACCTAATATATATACGAAGGTGCGGATATAGAGTGGATATGGATACAGTCATACAGCACATGTCTCCTGTTCGTAACCCCTTGAGTACTATGACAACACCTCAAGTACGTAGATTTAACCCCTTGAGTACTAGGACAATCCCCCAAGTACGATGATTTCAACCCCTTGACTACCATGACTTAACCCTTTGAGTAAGATGATTGAACTTCTTAAGCATGATGACTCCATGACTAAGGGAGAATGTCATCGTACTCAAGGGGTTATATCATCATATTTAAGGGATTATGTCATAGTACTCTTCGAACTCAAGGTACCAAGAGTCCACCGAGCTATACATTACAACTGGGAAAATAATGATGGTTTAGTACAATGCCGATCATTATTACTTCCTTATATAACAAAGGCTTATTATCCCACTGTGTTGTATATGTACTGACACTCATAAGCCCCTCTGGTCTATACGTCATCCAGTTTCATTCTTTCCCGTAGTAAGTCTCGAGTAAGCTACGCCGTTCAGTTCTTTACCGATGATAACATGATATCTACCCTCTGCTCTATGTATTTCAAGGTTTCTCAAGATTTCTCGAGGTTTCTCAAGGTTTCACAAGGTTTCTCGAGGTTTCACAGGTGTATTACAAGGTTTCTCAAGGTTTCATAGGGATTTACAGGGTTTCTCAAGGTTTCACAAGGTTTTACAAGGGTTCACAAGGTTTATCAAGGCTTCACAAGGTATCTCAAGGTTTCAATAGGTTTCTCGAGGTTTTACACGGTTTCTCGAGGTTTCACAAGGTTTCTCAAGGTTTATCAAGGCTTCACAAGAGTTTTACAAGGTTTCTCGAGGTTTCACAATAATTCACAAAGTTTCAAAAGGTATCTCTAAATTATATAAGATTTATCAAGGTTTGTAAATATTTCAATATGCTTCTCAGAATTTCACAAGACTTCACAAAATTTCTCAAATACTGGATACTGTATGACTCTCTCTCTCTCTCTCTCTCTCTCTCATTCATTATCAGAATTATATATGATTTTTGCTTCTCCCTTCAATTCTTTCCTTCACTACACTCACCTCCCCACTCCTTTCTCTTACTCTTCCTTTCTTCACTTCCCCTTTCTTTAATCCTCCCTTCCTTTTCTTACCTCTCTCTCTCTATCTCTCCCCATTTTTATCTCCCTGCCTGTCTCCCCTCCCTGTCTTTCTTCCTCCCTTGTCTCTGTCTCTTTCCCTTTCTTTCCCCCCTCCCTTTCATCCATCCCTCCATTTCATCCCCTACGTTTTCCCTCCCTCCTCTCCCTCCCTCCCTCCCTCTCTTTCCTTCCTGTCTCCCTCTCTTCCCTCCCTCCTTTTCATCCCCTACGCTCGTCCCTTTCTTCCCTCCTTCCTGTCTCACTCTTCTTCCCTCCCTCCCTCCCTGTCTCTCTCTCTCTCCCCACCCTCCCTCTCTCTCTCTCTCTCTCTCTCTTTTCCCTCACTGCCTCCCACCCCTACTTCCCTACGTAGGTCATGACGGAGGGTTCCAGTAATGCCCTGTGTTAGCTATGTAGTAGTCATTCCTATGCCTGGTCACTTGCAGTCTGGTGAGGTGAGGGCCAGCAGTGAGCACATCACCTGTAGACTGCCGCACACTGCCCCTTCTTCCCTCCCTCCTACCTGTGTGTTGGACGTCAGGTGTGGTGCAGGTGTTTATGGGGCAGGGGGAAGTGTAAGTTAGTGTGTGTGTGTGTGTGTTTCCTGTATCTCTCTCTCTCTCTCTCTCTCTCTCTCTCCATTTGTTACCAGCGGCACCTTCCCCTACACACACCTTGATAGCTGCTTCACTCACAACTACACTTACCATCCAGAGTAAAAACACATGCACTTAACCATATACCAACACCCCCACGCTGCTACTCCTCCTAAAGAAGACATCCTCACTACCTTTTATAAACAACTGTCCATTAATATCATTCAAACCTTCTCCTCAATCTATAAACTTTACCCAAAATTGTCATTAAGTTCCGAAATACATACAAAAGTTATTAATGTTTCAGAAGTCAACACAACACTGCCGTCGCTAAGTTACAAGACTAACCATAAGGGACTACACATCTACCTGGCTCATAGTTTTATATCTATGTATCATTTCCTATGAAGAGACGCCAATTAGTAGTTTCAGGTGAGACACACAATGTTACATGCGACCTACAGCAGAGTTCTTCCCGGGCTGGACAGGTAAGGTAAAAGGTATTTGTGGAAAATTACCCATCTTTTTTTTTTACCTCATCCTCACAGGTTCCCAAAACGTCTCATGTCCATTAGAGAAGAAAACATTATACCTTAGCTTAATAAGTTACCCAGTTATACAATTCTCTTTAATAAAGCCAAAAC